TCTGAAAGGTCAGCCTTGGAAATCCTACAGTTTTACTCTGTCACATGGGGTTGTCTTGAGTCAGAATCGACTCAAGACGGGATACTGGCCATTTGTCCCACTGGAGAGGTGAAAGCAACCCATATTGGGAATATGTCCAGAGGTGAGTTTCTAAACTTCGCAAATATAACATTCAAAACACTGCTGCTGTTGTTCTTAGTGTAATGAGAACACAGGCGCATGAACCTGTGTTCTTAATCCCAAATGAGCACATCCTGTTCGTGAGTGGGCAGTCCTTGTGTTGTGCAATCCCTTTATTTGATAAAAAGTTCTGAGAAACACCATTGAAGAAATGACCCAGACATTCAAAACGCCTCCACAGACCAATATAAGCAATCTTTCTGGTCCAAATAAAATAAAGTCATGATTCACTAAAACTTCTCTTCATTAGTTCTCAAGATAAACAGAAAAGTCAGAGAACAAAAGCCAAAACTAACTTTACCAAAGCTGTGGAAACGTACAGAAATCCAAGTCGTTTTACTGCAGCTCATCCCACCACGTCACTGAATACTGCAAAATACTACTGTTAGCTTAGCTGCCACTCCACTTATTAACAACAAACTTGATTTTCTCCCAGGACCGGGTATTAGGAGCTGCGTGGTCTGGGCGTAAACGGCAAAGGCTCACAGAAGGTCCTCTCAGAGCTTCATGCAGGTCTGGCTTTTGCCCTAAGGAATCAGCCATGTGTGAGGAAGAAGTGCCTCATTTCTTCACCTCAGCACATCTCTGGATACAATCAGTACGTGAGGAAATTTGTCTTTCCCATGTTTCTGGAATTTCAGGTTAAGTCTATGATTTAACCTAAGCAATTCGTGGCTTCTTAAAGGGACAATTCTTTTAGGTTAATCTGTCTGGAAAATTAATACCTTTGGGAGATGTTTACATTCAGGTAAGCAAATGCGCCAGGTTAGATCAGATTTCCCAGAGGCTACTTTCCAAAGCGTTGGTGGGAAAAAACAGGTGAATAGCAAGTCACCTGCGCAAAGGGCTTTGTTTGACTCAATTGCTACTTTAAATATGAGTTAAATGTTCAAGGCTTAACAAAGGGATTCTGGTGAAATTTCCTATTTAATTATTGAAATTAGGCATGATCTGGCACGACAAAAATCTAGCTAATTCACAGAAAATTCTCAGTACTCTTCATCTAAATAGTAGGAAAAAAAAACCCAAACCCACTGCCGTTAAGCTGGTTCCGACTCATAGTGACCCTGTAGGACAGGGCAGAACTGCCCCAGAGGGTTTCTGTCTTAGTCATCTAGTTCTGCTGTAGCAGAAATACCACAAGTGGATGGCTTTAACAAAGAGAAGTTTATTCTCTCACAATCCAATAGGCTAGAAGTCCAGATTCAGGGTGTCAGCTCCTGGGGAAGGCTTTGTCTGTCGGCTCTGGAGGAAGGTCCTCGTCATCAATCTTCCCCTGGACTAGGAGCTTCTCCGCACAGAAACCCCGGGTCCAAAGGACGGGGTCTGCTCCCAGCACTGCTTTCTTGGTGGTATGAGGTCCCCCATTCTCTACTTGCTTCCCTTTCCTTTTATCTCTTACAAGAGATAAAAGGTGATGCAGACCACACCGCAAGGAAACTCCCTTTACACTGGATCAGGGATGTGACCTTAGTAAGGGTGTTACAATCCCACCCTAACCCTCATTAACATAAAATTACAATCACAAAATGTAGGACAACCACACAATACTGGGAATCATGGCCTAACCAAGTTGATACCTATTTTGGGGGGACACAATTCAATCCATGACATTCCAACCTTTGGCCCCCCAAAATTCATGTCCTTGCTATATGTAAGACACATTCACCCCATTATATCATAGCAAAAGTATTAAATCAACTCCGAGTCCAAAATCTAAAAAATCCTCTTCATGTGTGAAATCTAGAATACAAGTTATCTGCTTCCAAAGTACAATGGCAGAACAGGCACAAGCTAGACATTTCCATTATAAATGGAAGAAACTGGAGGGAAAGAAGGGATAACAGGCACCAAGCAAGTCAGCAGAACACATTATATTAGCCCTCAAGGCTTTCCAAATAATCCTCTGTTCTCTGAGACCATTTACACAATGGCCCTGCCCTCTAGGCTCTAGGTATTGGCCACAGTCTCTGGATTCTGAGTGGAGGCCCCTCAGATCTGGGCTTCAGCTCCATCTTCCGGGCCCACGGGGATGGCAACTCCCTGAGCTTTAGATGTACCATTCTCCTGGTCCATCTGAGTGGTGACTCGACCCTTAGAAACACCAGAGGCCATGGCTCCACCCTTTGAAACAACAGAGGCCATGGCCATACCTTTTGAGACTGAGGCAGCTCAGCTTCCGTTGTTCTTTGTCTCTTCAGCTTCTGCTTCCTGGTTCCTTGGCCTCTCAGCCCCTCAGGCCTCACGCCCGCATCTGCCCTCCTGGAGCAAGTGTTCCAAAGCTCCGCAGCTCCAGTGATAAGTGCCTGCAGGCAGCCCACTCCACCAGGAAGCCTCTGCACACAGGCACTCAGCTCTCTCGCTTTGTAGATCGGCTCCAGCACTGTCTGGCATCCTTCTGACGCTGCTGCTTCTCTGCTGCTGCCACTTATCTGCTGCTGCTGGTCCTCTATTCATTCACAGTTTTCAAAACTGCTTCCACATTTTAAGAATCTGTTAGAGCAGCACCCTATTCTCTCGGTACCAAATTCTGTCTTAGTCATCTAGTCTGCTGTAACAGAAATACCACAAGATGGCTTTAACAAAGAGAAGTTTATTCTCTCACAGTAAAGTAGGCTAAAAGTCCAAATTCAGGGCGTCAGCTCCAGGGGAAGGCTTTCTCTGTCAGCTCTTCCCCTGGCCTAGGAATTTCTCTGCACAGGAAACCTGGGTCCAAAGGACGCACTCTGCTCCCAGCACTACTTTCTTGGTGGTATGAGGTACCCCTCTCTGCTCGCTTCTCTTTCCTTTTATCTCGTGTAAGATAAAAGGTGGTGCAGGCCACACCTCAGGGAAATTCCCTTTATATTGGATCAGGGATGTGACCTTAGTAAGGGTGTTACAATCCCACCCTAATCCTCTTTCACATAAAATTACAATCACAAAATGGAGGACAACCACATAATATTGGGAATCATGACCCAACCAAGTTGACACATATTTTTGGGGGACACAATTCAATCCATGACAGTTTCCAAGGCTGAAATCTTTACAGGATCAGACTGCCACATCCTTCTCCTGCAGAGCCAGCTGGTGGGTTTCAACTGCCAACCTTTCAGTTAGCAGCTGAGCATTTAACCACTGCACCACAAGGGCTCCTTCAAAATAGTAGAAGTGAGTGCAACAGAGTAAGAAAGATGATGATGATAAAGAAGAGGAGGAAGAGGAGGGTATCACCGTTCATTTGACTAGCACATCATGATTTTAAAAGCACTTTCGTCTCATCCACACAATAATCCCTAAAGTAGAGCGTGCAAGCATTGTTACCACTTCCATGAGGACACTGGGCCACAAGTTTCAGCTTACACAGATAATAAGATGCTAGGCCTCCAAGTTACGTAGAATTACAAGACTTTGCGCAAAAGAAGCTGTGGAGAAGACATCACGTATATTGTTGAGAAAAGTATTTGCAGTAAACACAAGCTCTAGATAAGTAGCAAATAGGTAAAAGTAGTAACACTTTAATTTGTTTGGTTTTATCTTTAAATGAGGATTAACAAAAAAAAAAAAAAACCAAACAGCCCAGAGCAAAGAAATACCCAGGACCAGGTTTATAAAGACTTCTTCAGCTCTCGACATTGGCATCTCAGTGGCAACTCCTTTGTAAAAACATATGAAATTCTTACTCCTTTTATAAAAGTTAAGACTAGGGTATATTTAAAAAAAAAAAAAAAAATCCACTGCCGTCGAGTCAATTTTGACTCATAGCAACCCTGTTGGACAGAGTAGAACTGCCCCATAGGGTTTCCAAGGCTGTAAATCTTTATGGAAGCAGACTACTACATCTTTCTCCCATGGAGTAGCTGGAGGGTTCAAACCACCCACCTTTGGTTCACAGCTGAGCAATTTAACCACTGTGCCACCAGAGCTCCTTAGGGTATACACCAAAACCGAACAAAACTCATTGCCATCAAGTCAATTCTGACTCATAGAGACCCTATAGGACAGGGTAGAACTGCTCCATGGGGCTTCCAAGGAGCGGCTGGTGATTCAAACCGCCAACCTTTTGGTTAGCATACTGTGGGACAATTTTATGTCATTTCTCAATTCCAAAAAAACACTGAACAGATCAAATCAGGTCTTATGATAAAACTGTGTTAAATGCCCCGTAAAGGGAAAGGAAACATACAACAGGTAACTTTAATGAACAGCAACGTGAAATAAATGAAACCAGAAGTTCTCTCCAGAATTACTAAATGATAAAAACAATCTAAAATTTAAAGTTTTATCCCAATTATCCAACTATTTTCTTAAAATACATTCTAAAACAACCATAACTAACTTTAGAATTCAGTGACAGTCTGCATTTGTCATGGATTCTATTTATATTCTTCATTAGTTAACAAATTTATTCCATTCAATGATTAAACAGTTCGTTAAAAAAATAGAAATTTGTTATTTGCGCATTTCTTTACTTATCTTAAATAAATATTCACTTTGGGTCCCCCAAAATAAATAAATATCCTCAGATGCATTCATTGCTTCTAGATTTCATTCTGCACACCCAATTCCTCTTAAGCTTACTTTTAAACACAACTTTGATATAAACAAGGTCTTTAACAAATAATAAATTTCCATAAATACGACTACTGAGATTTAGACATAAAAACACTGAAAATCAATTTGACGTCTGCTTTTTCATTACATTTCATTTGAAATTTGGTATTCTGCCTTGACATCAAAGGTAGACCTGGCCTCAGAAGAAAAATTTCATTACATATTGGTATGTTGCTTCTGATGCTCCAAGTGAGGTACACATTTTGATGTTGAGTGTCACTCACCTTCCGGTAAATCATATGGCACATGGCTACTCTCAGCCTCATCCCAGCACACTGGACGTGATAGAAGTATAAGTGGTGCAGTATAGCCAAGAAGAGCGTGCAGACAGTCAGCACCGTGGCATGGACGTAGGCTGTGTGCAAAGCTGCTGAGTCACTGGGATCATAATTTTCAAAATAATTAATAATTCTTCCCAAAAACAAAGGCTGAATTACTTTAATGCTTTCCTAAAAGAGGGAGGAAAGATAAAAACACCTTAATTAAAATTACAAACCATACCAAGTTTTCTTAAAACAAGTTTTACTGTTATTAGCTTGTTAAAAAGGCATTATGACAAAGTACTACATTCATCATTAGCCTAAAAGAAAAACAGAAAGACTTTACTGTTTAAGACAAACCTTAAGACAAAATTGTACGTTCAAAGATAACAAAACTTTAGTACGCTGTGCTAGGTACATTGTGGATGCTCAATAAACATTACAACCAGTGCCTTAAAATCCATTTGGCCAACAACCAAATAAGCCTTGGCCAAAGATGAATACATAAAAATGTAGTAAAACAGTTATAAGGATTTGCTTGCATATGTACAGTCCAGCTTGTGATCAGCCCATTCCCTCTGCACTGTCAATATCCAGTCCAAAGGAAAGTTAAACCAGTTGTCGCTGAGTTGACTTGGGCTCACTGGGACTCCATGTGTCTGAGAGTAGAACTGTGCTCTATAGGCTTTCAGTGGCTGTTTTGTCAGAAGGAGAGAGCCAGGCTTTTCTCCCAAAGCACCTCTGGGTAGACTCTATCCGTCAACCTTCTGGTTGGCAGCCAAGTACGTTAATCTTTTGCACCACCCAGGGTCTTCAAAGGAAAACTAACATGGCTTGTTCACAAGAAGCACACTCTTGCCACCTCCTTCTGCCCTAAGAGCCTTTATAAACTGAGATTTTGGCACAAACATAGATCAGAAGAGAGAACTCTTCAACCTTTCCTGACTCAAACTCCATATACTGGTAGATCCAAGAGAACAGTCCAAGTACTGAAAAGGAACTAGACTTAGAGGTCTTCAGACTCTTACTGCCAAGGGAGGGGAGTTGTTTCAATATGCTTCTACCATCTAAAAGCTGGGATATACACAGGAGTACTTCTTCTATGGCTCAGGTAGTCTGGAGTCAAAAATTACACATGGCACAAGTTAAGCTAAAATATAATATCAGCTGATCTCTATCAGTCATGCATTTCAGGTGCTGGTTTTGAAGAAATATTTATAATCATCTATTTCGCAAAGTCACCCCTGTCTGTCCGTTTGTCGTACTGCGGTGCCTTGCATATTGCTACAGTGCTGAAAGCTATGTCAACTATATTTCAAATATCAGCAGGGTCATCCATGGTAGACAGATTTCAGCAGAGCTTCCAGACTAAGATAAGCTAGGAAGAAAGGCCTGGCGATCTACTTCTGAAAATTGGCCAATGAAAACCCTATGATCACAACAGAACACGGTCTGACATAGTGCTAGGTGAGCCCTCTAGATTGGAAGGCACTGAAAATAACCAGCAGCTACAACAATGGACTTGCGCATACCAATGACCATGAAGATGGTACAGGACCAGGCAGTGTTTTGTTCTGTTGTACATGGGGTCACCATGCGCTGGAGCTGACAAGACAGCAACTAACAACAATTCTCCACGGCAAAAATTAAAATCGTATACCGCTGAGTTGGGCAGCATTGGGGCTTACTTCCTGAATAAGACATAGGGAAAGTAATTTTCTTGACCAAGTCTAAAGGCAAAGAAACAGCAGAACAATGCTTTGAGCCACAGGACACAACAGGCAAAGGTGCTTTCCTTCACTGGCTCATATGCCTTTCCCAGCCAAACGGCCACCCCACTCCACACCAACTTCCCCCTCTAGTAACCCCTTGTACGGTACCCTCCCTCTCCCATAAAAACAAACCAAACACTCATGGCAAATCCAAGTCACCAAAAGTAAACACACAGGCTCTCGACATCACTTCCTCCACAGACTTCCAAAAAGACTAAATGTCAAAAGTTTGGAAATCTTTCAAGAACTCAACTCTGAATCAAGGTTTTCCTTTTGAGCAATCCCTCCTAATAACACAGATGTAAACAACTGGTAGGTTTGCTTTTGACAGTTCTTTTTTGTTTTGTTTGAAAAGAGAAATCCATGCACAAGAGGGAGGGAGAATCCAACAAAAACTAACATACATTTTCTTCCCAAACAACTAGTGCCCAGTCAGGCTATTTACAGAAAGACAGCCGAACCTTCCCTCAGATCGGTCATGGCGTTCAACGACAACACTCTCGTACTGTTGTACACACCCCACATATCCACATACACAAACTCACAGACTTCATCAAGAACTTCCTTCTAGTGATACCGTGGGAATTTTCACCTACAATCCAGAGGTAAGGGAAAACTATTTAGTTGAATTGTAAGTAAGATGACCATATGTCGAGATTGCAAAGGAGCACTGTTATATTTCTAGTACTCCCAACAATTCATCTCAAGGGGCATTAAGAGATTATGGAGCAACTTCCTAATACAGTGGATCAGAGTTTACTCGGATGAAAATATGGAGGTTCACACAGAGACACAAGAATGCCAGACTGTACACACGGGTAGTCCTAGCCCAGGTGTGGCCGAGAGCAGCCCAGATCAACAGACTGTAAACCTGGGGTTATCCACCCAAAGCCCAGTGGTAACTCCTGCAGTCCCAAACTTTCCAAAGCTGACAACTGTCTCTGCGAGTCACTGTTACTTGTCACAAAGTTCTCCATTTGAACCTAACACGGGTCTGGTTTGAGAGATGTCACCTATCAGGGGTCCAGAAAGAACACTGATGATGCAACAAATCTAGCCAAAAAGAGGGCACAATGAAGGCAGCTCACTGCCACCTAATCGTCTGAACTGTTCTGCTTAGCATTTAAGAATTCAGTCATACAAACATGCTCGTTGAGTAATGCTGGTTCAGGGTTCATGCCTTCTCACTGACCTGTCCATCCCAAATCTTAGCCCTCAATTAGAAAGAAATAAAATAACTGGGAAAATACTGATTACCCAACTTAGAGTTAACCAAATTTAAACTTTCCGGATAGCAGGAAGAAGGTCAAAAATTGTTCAAACCTTCCATCTTTTACGTCAGTCTATCGCCTGGTGAAGAGTCTTCCCACAAACCAATTGAGAATATAGTCCTCATTCTTTCACGAGAATTCCTCTCAACTCTGAAATCACAAGGGATTTTTATGAGTCCAACATGATACCACTGTCAGAAGGGTTTGAAGGCAGATATTTCTCAGTATTTTGAGAGTTTGTGGTATTCTGCCTCCGTAAAGCACCTGACATTGGGCGCTAGCCCTAACCTCTTCAGGTAACATGTCACGTGGCTAGAAGCTAAAATTTTCCCGGTGGGTATGCTGCCTCCGCCAGGTTCTCCCAAGAACTTGAGAAGTCTCTTGCCCAGCTCCGCCATCCCCAAATCAGGAGAAGGAAAGAAAAGAAATGGAAACAAGCTGTCAGAAAAGGTTTCGATAAAAAAAAAATGCTTGAAGGAAAACATAAGGCAAAAAGAGTGGGCTTGCTGAGAAAATGAACAGGCAGTTAATTTTGAGAAATATCAAAATAGGTGACAAGGGCCAGAGATGAGGAAAAATAATAAATCTTGGAAACAATAACCATCAAGAGTCTAAATAGACTTTAAAAATAAAACCAAAAAAATGCTGTTCTATGGGTTCTAACTCATGGCAACCGTATGTGTCTCAGAGCAGAACCGTGCTCCAGAGGGTTTTCAATGGCTATGATCTTTGGACACAGATCACTAGGCCTTTCTTCTGAGATGCCTCTGGGTGGATTCAAACCGCCAAGCTTTTGGTTAGTAGCCAAGCGCTTAACTGTTTGTGCCACTCCTAGATACACCTTAAACCAAAAAAAAAAACCAAAGCCGTTGCCAGTGAGTCAATTCTGACTCATAGTGACCCTGAAGCATAGAGTAGAACTGCCCCATAGGGTTCCCAAGGAGTGGCTGGTGGATTAGAACTGCCGATCTTTTGGTGAGCAGCTCTTAACCACTACGCCACCCTCTTTAATCAGTGCACTTCAGTCCTGGTTGTACTTTAGAGTCACCTGGGGAGATTTAAAAGAATACTTATCCCGAGGCCCCATCTCGCAGAGACTGATTTAGATTTAATGTATTAAAGTGGGGCTTGAAAGTCCTCCTGCGTAGAAGATTCTGAAATGCAAGTACTAACCCCATGACACCATTTGCTATTCTCCTGCCCTCCACAATCACTGCGTGTGAGTCTGGGAGGGCTGTACACCTGCTCTGAAGTACTTACACATATCACAAAGGGTTTTAATCAGGGTTGCATGCCACGTATCACGTTTCTAAGAAAAACCCTTATGAACGAACCCAAAGTCCTGAGATTTCAGTGATGAAAGTAATACCCTCCAGTCTGCACAATAAAAAAAATTCAATGTTCAGGAAAGACTGTATTCACAAAAGGAAAGAATGAATTATGAGTTGTTTTCAAGTTACGTCTAAAAGGAAAGGGAATAAAACGAAAACGAGAGGGGAAACAGCCTTCTGTAAAACAACCTCCTTTGAAGACTGGACTTTGGAACTATGAAAGTATTACAATTAATTGTAAAACATAATTAAAATTTTAAAAGCAATTCCTCAAATTTGAGAACAAAATGAACTGCATGGATAGCACAGTGGCTGCAACAATGGGCTCAAATACAGCAACAATTGTAGGACGGCACAGGACCAGGCAGGGTTTCGTTCTGTTGTACGTGGGGTCGCTAGGAGTTGACAACAACACTGCTGTGTGCCCAAGAACCAGGATGGGGTATAAAGCCCTCTCCTCTGGAGCTCTGTGTCTGCTCTTCACAACGCTCCCCCACGTCTCCCCTGCTGTGTAGTCCTCCCTAGTCCTCACATGTCGTTACCACCAGCAGCCACATCACCTCCTCCTGCTCATCTGCTGGTTTGAGTGAAATGAGATGGAAACTTGGAGAAAAAGCATTGGAGAATGCCAAGGCCCAGTACAGCTCTCAGGAAATCAGCCCTGAGTAAAGGCGCAAACTTTACCGGGGAAATCGGAGAATTTTCTGTTTGCTTATTTCCTGCCCATCAGCTGAGTTCCAAAGCGAGGATTTACTCAAACATTCCCCCTCAATAGGATTCTAACAGCCTCCAACTGGACCAGTGCAATCCAAGCA